CCATACCCCTCTCCCCGGGTCCCGTCACCGCGCCGTGAAATATAAAGACTCCCGCGATTTCACGCTCGCTCGCTTTCGTTGTGCAAATCTGTCGTCTCTGTCATCTCAAAGAGGTGGTCGTTCCAAAAGCACGCATGATTTCGGGCGAATATGGGTTGGGTACCTTTTCCTACACAGACAAAAATAACCAGATCTCACCCCCTAACAGGCGTCACGCTCAAGACGTTTACGTTAGGTTTCCACGTGGTTAAGATGTAGGTGAATATTAAGAACCAGCGGGACACCAAAATTCAAAACTCTCTGGATGTGGTCAAAATTGTTGCTGCATAGCCCAAATAGAGTTCGGAGACGGCGAGGCTTGTTAAACTCTCCCATAAATTTCGAATTTTCGTCAATCACCTGTCGAGTCGTATAGTTCCCGTAGGTGCAGTCAGTGGCCACGGGCCCGCAGTACACGAGGTCAAGCCAGGACTCGGACACGGGTGACCCCTTGGCACTCGGACAGCGCACCCCGAGGAACTCGACGGTCGCTCGAACCGATTCCTCAGGGTAGGTGACGATCTCCTTGGGGCCGAGGGACAGTCGCGCACGCGGCCAGAGCACGTCCAGGAGAAACAGCCCTCCAGTCTGGAACAAGCGGCGAACACATTTAATAGCAAATAGAAGCAGAGCATTGAAGAGAGAACTTAGCGAGGCTTGCGATTTGCGGTCCCGGTCCGTCACTCACCTCGTTGGTGGCGGGCAGCGCGGGGTCGAAGGCCATCCTGACTCTGGCGGTGGTATTTCTCGGCGTGCTGCTGGTCGTCGCGGAGGGCGTTGTCGTGGCAGCCGTGGTGGATATCGTGGTGCTCGCCGTGGTGGCCAGGGCCGCCGTCGGTGCGTCCGCCGCCTCCTGCTTCATCTCCGAGCCGCCGCCGACGACCCTGTTGGACGACGCCGTCCTCTCGTCGCTCTCGTTCTCCCCGCTCGACTCGTCGCGGTCCCCCTTCCTGCTGGCCGTCTTCTTGGTCCTGTCGAGCCCCGCCAGCCTGAGGGCGTAGCGGCCGCCGCGCGAGACGAAGCCGCATGGGAAGCGGGCCACGATGGGCTTGAGCGTGGTGGGCAGCGGCGGCGGCCTGCTGGGCGCGGCCGGCGGCGCACTGCCGGTCGCGTTGCCGCGCTCCGCTTCGGGCCGCCAGGTGCTTGTCATCTTGCCCAGCGCCCGGCCCGAGGCCGGCGACACGCTGCCGCCGCCGCTGCGGCTGTAGCCCCGCACCCACTGCAGCCGGCCGCCCGTGTTAGCCGCCGTGCTGGGCGCGTTGGTGGGCACGCTCACTGGCACGGAGCCCTGCACCGTGTACTCTGCAAGAGCAAGCGAGGACGGCACTCAGTGCGTGCGGCAGCCGCCTGTGGACGGCGGCATAGGCAGACCCGCCGGGCAGACGCGCCATGCGGGACTGCCTACCCGCAGGCGCCCGAGGTAGCTCACAGGGCAGCAAATCGGTGGCAAGAGCCCAAGTATTGAGAAGTCAACATTTCGCATAGAAAAATGGCTGTGTCAGAGCAAATTAGAAATGGCAAATTTACCAAATTTACAGCAAAGCGTAATAATTATGTAAGAATTGTTAAAATGCTAGTTGTTCCTTGATAACTGTAAGCTTCAGTTTTCCCTTCAAATCTCCGCGCTCACCTGGAGGGTTGGCGGCCGAGGCCGCGGTGGCGAGCGGCGGGCCGTTGGACACGTGCTCGAGCAGCAGCAGCTGCAAGCGGCGGCCGCGCGCCCACACCGGCAGCTGCCTGATCTCCACGAGCAGGTCCCCGGACAGCGCCAGGTAGGTCTGCGGCCGGCCGGGCCCCGAGCCGATGCCGAGGCCCGGCCCCAAGCCGAGACCGAGGCCGCCGCCAGGGGGGCTGGACACTCGCAGTTGGTACGAGGCCACGGAGCAGAGGCCTGCGGGCAGAGAGGATACAGGTTCGGTTGCTTCTTAGCAAGTTCGTTTCAGTTATAGAATAAGACACTGGGAGAAAAACTTGTAAGGGTTACAGGAAGATTTCCTATGATGTGTGTTGTAGAGTAACACTTTGAAATTGTAAAATTACAAGCACTCTGTTTCGACTTGGAATACACTTACGAGCCAAAAAAATCATCACAGATTTTGAGCCTGGAGACCCCTGGTTGTAACATTTCTAAGATACATGTAAATTGATAAACTAATAATAATATCGGGAGTTCACACTCCAAAAGCTTCAGGCACGAGTACAAACTGTGATAATTTAGAATATTATTTTCATTTTTAATGAGCTAATTGGTATTTTATTGACGAGCAATTGTTTCTTTACGACCCTCATTGTAATTTATGTGTGCCTGTTTGATTTACGACTGCGTTCGTATATGTACTTTTGTATACCTGTAAATCACAATTATGAAAAATATTACAAATTCACGAAGTTGTCTTTCAGAGTGCGTGAAATTTAAGCCTCATGTCTCATACATTTACAGCCTTGTTCTCTCGTCTCGGGTGGTAAACATAACACACGGTACTTCTACGCGGGAGCGCTGGTTACAACTTTACTCCCTCTTCTCTTTCTTACACACTCACACACACAGGAGGGCGAGAGTGTGCGCGCGTCTCTTTCCGAAAGGGATATTACTACAACGTATACGACAGAAAGCCTTCAGGCGGGCAGGTCAGGGGGCGTGGGGCGAAGGGGGGATAGCAATAATGCCAAAGCGGAGAAAAATTGCGGCAGCGCAGCAAAGACTTCTGAAAGCTACTCTTGCGGGGTCGCCTTCCCCTCCGCGCCACATCTGTTGCGCGCCGAATAAAGGTTTACCGCTCAACCAACAGATTGCGCTCCGGTCGCGTCCGGTACTGTAGATTAATTGATTGTGTAAACGTGAGTGTGTATTCTCCCCGGCAGAAAGAAAACACAATACTGCGAGCTGACCAGACGAAATTTATGGCAAATATTTGCAGAGGCGCGGACATTTTTGGAGGAAATAAGAGCCTATCACTTCTGCGAGAGAGAGAGAGAGAGAGAGAGAGAGAGAGAGAGAGAGAGAGAG